ACGAAGGGGCAGAGCTGATGGGCACAAGATATTGTTCAAGTTGTTATGGAAAAACAAAACGTGTAACACCCCAAGTGAAGTACACACACAATATACTTATAAAGACTGTACAATAAAATCTGGAACTCCTAAAAGAATAATACATAGTACTCTCTGTATAAATATTAAAACACATGTATCACACAGATAGGATAAGACTCACATAATTACTGAGAGGGTAGTGGATGCATGGAATAGCCTTCCAGCTGAAGTGGTAGAGGTTAACACAGTAAAGGAGTTTAAGCATGCGTGGGATAGGCATAAGGCTATCCTAACTATAAGCTAAGGCCAGGGACTAATGAAAGTATTTAGAAAATTGGGCAGACTAGATGGGCCGAATGGTTCTTATCTGCCGTCACATTCTGATTCTATGTTTTTATCTCGAACAGGAACTGAAAGTAGACACTCCAAGGTAAGTAATAGACGCTTTATTGATACAAACTTAATATAGGGTCTAAAAAGGAAGTGTGAAAGGAAAGCAAATAATATAAACACCACAAGAACAACATAAAATAACAAGAAAAAATTAATTCAAAAAAATTAATAAAAGCAGTTAGCATGGATTGCTAATAAGGTATGCAGCCACTTAGAGACCAGGCTCAGACAGGGACCTTTCTGGGCTAGGAGAGCCAGATCTGATTCTGAGGGCGGCCTCACATTGTGGACTTGGAGTACTCGATCTATTTGTGATGGGGTGCCTCTTTCAGCTGGCAGGGAAATCAGTAGATCTCCAAGCTCAGTCCTGCACCCTTTACTTCATTGTGAGAGTGTTGTGGTGATCACTTTAAGAGCTCATTCACTGTCCCTGGAGCTTCTCAATGACCCAGAGAGCTTCAACCGGCACTCTGAGTCATTGACTGATAATATGAGGGAGCTGTTAAAGTGATCAATAGAGGTGTATACCACACCTGCACAGGCCATGGGAATGCCCATCACAGGACCATCAGGGAATGCTTTCCACTTGATCACCAGGGAATGTCCTCCACTGAACCATCAGGGAATGCCCTCCACAGCACCACTAGGGAATTCCCTCCACCGGACCATCAGAGAATGCCCTTCACCCGAGCATCAGAGAATGCCCTCCACCGAACCATCAGGGAATGCCATCCACCAGACCTCTAGGGAATGCCCTCCAACGGATCATCAGGGAATGCCCTAAAGTGGACCATCAGGGAATGTCCTCCACTGAAGCACCATGGAATGCCTCCATAGACCACCAGGGAATGACCTCCCCCGGACCATCAGGTAATGCCCTCCACCTGACCCTCAGGGAATGCCCTCCAGACTGGACCACCATGATTAACACCCTGTTGCTGTGACCAGGGCAAACAAAAAACCTCTTTCAAACTTCTCTCCCAACACTCAGACACCACACATCATACCGTCCCCAACACACAACACTCAGTCACACTCAGATTCCCCTCTACACACACTGTTGCTCCATACTCAAAATGCTGCCACCACACACAAAACCAGCACTCACACTCATACTCAGCATCCTCCATTCAACTTTCAGACTCAGCCAATAACAATACTCAACCAAAACACACTGTCACACAGACAACATTCAGTCTCCCCCACACACATACAGCACTTAGCCACCACACACAACACTCACAGGAAAGAGCACAGTGCTGTAGAAGGGGTTACCTGGTATCCTGCTTATGGTCCTGAGCAATCTTAATCTGGCTCTGCATAGATGATCACACTGGAGGTTATTATATTGATATATATGATATTATTATGTATATTATTATTGTAATATATCGTTCATTAGTTTCACACTTTTACGGAGCCTATACTGACACCATTTACAGAGCTTCTTCACTTGTGTTTAATTAATTTTAACAATGTCTTTTTTTTTTACTGTTTGTGTTGACACAGAAAGTGTGTAAATTATATAAATAAAGCAGTTAAACATTCTCTTTTATGTATATTTGTAAGTAATCCACTTGTACTTCAGGCAAATTAGATTCCCCAAAAGCCAGCAGAATTCAAACTAAATGATTAAATGTTTTTATATTCAGAGGGTAATACAGAACACAATGATTTAAAAAAAAAAAAGAATAATCCCGTCATTTGTTACAATTTTATCTTTGTTGCACAAATATATTAATTTGATGGTTGAATCCAATGACTGTTAAAACAAGGTAGTAGGTAACATAAACGCTTCCTCCTTGGGACTAATTGTAGAACTGTTGACAGAGTGTTTTTTACTGAGAATGACTTACTTCAATTCTCACTAGTAGGAGACACTCAGTTACCTTGACATAAAAACCAAGTGCCTAAAAACAGAACAATACATCTGTATAGGAAACCATACAACATATAACACTATATTTACTACATATTTAAGTTTTCTTGGTGTAAAGAAGACAGTTTTTGGTGTAAATCATATGTGTGGTAGAAGCAGGGATAGTTTGTAACAGCATTATACAAGCGATCTATTTCTTTCTATTTTGCTTGCTATAAGGAAGATAAAACATGTTAAAAAATGCAATTTTGGCACTCCAGATGTGTGGAACTAAACTTCCCATGATGCTTTGCCATGATTACGGATGTAAGAGCGTTGTGGGAGATGTAGTCCACAACATCTGGAGTGCAGAACTTTGCCTACCCCTGCTCTAGGCACTGTAACCACGTCATCTTGTTGAAGTGGTTATAGTGTCTGAAGTCCCCTGGAATTATTCTTCTGTTCAGTGTTAAACTGTTTTTGAATGGTTTGGCCTTAAATTAGAATGACCAGCAGCCCATCCCTCCTCTGTGCTGCTGCTGGCATCAATGAGGAAGTATTAACCTGAGTAGCAATAGGAAGCTGTGATTGGCTGAAATGATCTGTTGAGATTAATTGGTATGGCTAGAAGTAAGAGTGTGATCTCTGCTTTAGCCATACCTTTAGGGGGGCCGGGTTGTGGGTGGCCAAGGACACTCATTCAGTGTTAAACTGCTTGGAAATGGTTTAATACTGAATGAAGGACCGAAGGATTCAAGCATTATAACTAGAGTTGAGCGAGCCCAGACTGTAAAGTTCGGGTTCGAACCGAACACTAGGTTTTTTGGACCCCGAACACGGACATATCACTGTATGTTCGGGTTGGAGTTCGGTGTTCGGCGATTTAATGGCCCGTTTTCAAAGGGTGCAGGGCAGCCAATCAACAAGCGTTTGACTTGTGTGCCCTTAGAAGCCATCACAGCCATGCCTACTAATGGCATGGCTGTGATTGGCCAGTGCAGCATGTGACCCAGCCTCTATATATAAGCTGGAGTCACGTAGCGGTGCACGCACATGTGGTCTTATTAGTGTAGGGAGAGGATGCTGCCGCTGATAGGGACAGCTTAGGAAAGAATTCTGCAAACTAGTACATTAGTGGGGTGGGGTGCACTTCATCTCTGAGAGTCAAACAGAAGCTACAAATACCGCGGTTACATCAGAGTTTTAAAAAGTAATTTTTTTGGTGCTAAATAGTACATTAGTAGGGTAGCACATTAGTGGGGTGCACTTCATATCTGAGAGTCAAACAGAAGCTTCAAATAGTGCGCTTACAGGGCAGTGGTAAACATTCTTATTTTCTGGGTGCTAATCTGCTAAATAGTACATTTTGGGGCGTGCATTTTTTATCTGAGAGTCAAATAGAAGCGTTTAATAGTGCGCTTACAGGGCAGTGGTAAACATTCTTTTTTTCTGGGTGTTAATCTGCTAAATAGTACATTTTGTATTTTGTGGCCTGCACTTCATATCTGAGAGTCAAATAGAAGCGTCAAATAGTGCGCTTACTGCACAGTTGTAAACATTCTATTTGTTTTGCTGCTAATCTGCTGCTTACATTGTAGTCTTAAAAAGTAAAAAAAAATTTTTTTGGTGCTAAATAGTATATTTGGGGTGTTCACATATCTGAGAGTCAAATCGAAGCGTAACTTTGATTCAAATTTACTACATTGGTCACTTGTAATATTGTTTCACACCTACAACACATGTTACACAGATCTAAGTGATAGAAAACAGATTGATATTTTCTACACTAGAAACTACCAGATAACAAGCTGCTATATTTAAACCAGTGATCAATAGCTAAGAGTTACTTCAACAATATTGTAATTCTGGGGCAATACCCTCAAAAGTCAAACTGAGAGGTCAGTTTATAGGGAAAACTGTTGCCTGGATACAATTCTAACACAATTTCCATATGTCCTTTGCAGACTTTACATGCTGGAAAAACACAGGTGCCAACTGATGTGGCTTTCTGCAGTGTGAGGTAAGGAGGGCAGGGTTGAGGAGTGGGTGGAAGATGATGTGGAGGATGATGAGGTCCTAGACCCCACGTGAAATCAAGGTCATGCGAGTGACGAGTGCAGTTTGGAGGAAGAGGCGCTGGTCGCACAGAGGCAACAGCACAGCATAAGAGGGAGCAGAGTGCAAAAACGGAGTGGCCGTCCCCTAGCGCTCGTCGGCATGTATTAGTTTGAGAATTACCAGTTATCCAAGTAATACATGTAGGGATCAAAGGATCCATAATAGACAAAGTTCGGATTCGTGCCAGATTTAACGATCCATTCGTAGTTTCACAGTGAGGTGGGCAGTCTGGTGACCAGGACCCAGACACTGTCTGGGCGGCGGTCGGATGACCGGGACCCAGTATGCCTGATGTTAAAGTTAGGAGTCACCATGTGGAATGGATTAGCAGGGTCTGGTGCAGGTTAACCGCACGCCCCCTGGTGTTGAGCACCAGCGTTTGTACGGCACCATACCAGGACCCTCATGCAGCTTCAGTAAAAAGAGTACTGGATACCAGAAGCCATCACAAGACTGATCCGCAACTTGGAACAGGATGTGACATTCACTGTAGTGGCTGTGCTCGCTTTTGGCGTTGTCACCCTGCTGCTGCTCGCCTGTCTGCACTGCAGCGTAACTTCAGTCTTCCCGTTCACCGCCTCATGAGACTGTGCGAGCAGCAGAAGGCGATAGTGGAGTTTCAGCTGCAGCATGCATGGGTCAGTGGCTCTGCACCAGACTTCCCTCCAATTGATCAGAGTTAAAGGATTTCAAGTGGACTCATTACAATTACAGGGCCTCTAAAGAGTCCTGTATTGTTATTTGTCGTCACTACCTTCCCGCGTTGGGAGTGGGTCATTTGCGCGCCTGCTGCCTTCCTTGCATGTGGTAGCCGTTTCTCAGGGTCCCTGTACGGAATGGAACCCTGATTCCCCGTTACCCGTGGTCACCAAGTTGATATGGATGACATCCACATGCAAAGTCGCCGCCACGGGGATGTGCGATTTGCCCGATGTTCTCTAGAGTCAACAAAGTTCCTGCACAACTATAATGTCAACAGCTGCTCTGAGGAACAAAGTTGTCTTTTTTTATATGTCCCAATATTTTGGGGGATACCCCAATTAAAATATTTATATATATATATATATATATAAAAACAGTGTTGGCTACCTCATCCTCCTTCTCCACCGCCACGGTCACTGCCTCCTCAACCTATGGGTCACTTAGTATAAACTAGGTACACATTAGCAGAGGCTTGTGAAGGCCTTTTCTCCATGCATCAGGAGTTGAGCATTTCTCCATGCATCAGGACTGCAAGAAATGCACCGCAGGCCGCAAATTTTGTTGTATGTCCCAATATTTTGTGGGCTACCACAATAAAAACAAAACAGAACATAAACAACAGTGTTGGCTACCTCATCCTCCTCCTCCACCGCTGCATCCACCTACACGGCCACGGTCACCGCCTCCTCAACCCATGGGTCACTTAGTATAAACTATGTACACAATAGCAGAGGCTTGTCAAGGCCTTTTCTCCATGCATCAGGAGTTGAGCTCAGTTTGAACAATGAAAGAGAATACCCTGCACTCCAACCCTCTCTCAAAAGGATAATTCTGGTGATCCTCCTGACAGCCATGCTTTAGATTTTGATTTATGTTCTTCCAAAGCTAAAATCAAAGATTCCATCTAGTGCTATTTTATAACTCAGCTGTATTTTTTATTTTTATGTTATTTTACGTGATTTCCCTATCCATTTGTTTGCAGGGCAGTTGCCCTACTCTTACTCCCATTTTACTTGCTTTTGCAGCTCTCTAGCACTTTCCAGGAGTTTTTCAGATGCATTTTTGTGGCCAAAGGTTCGGGTCCCCATTGACTTCAATTGGGTTCAGGGTCAAGTTCGGGGTCAAGTTCGAGCCCGAACCCAGGCTTTTTTTCAAAGTTCGGCCAAACCCGCCAGACCCGAACATCCAGGTGTCCGCTCAACTCTAATTATAACCAATCCAATTAGATGAAATAGTTTGGGGTTTACATTGTCCTTAAAATACAAATACTGACCAAAGTATGTAACAACTCTGTGCAGTGAATGCAGACCTCCAGGGGCAGGGTGGTCCTGAGAAATTTTAGGTTATCTACTAATAGCAATTTATGCAACAGAAATGTTACTTATAACAAGAACAGTGTAACTTATTTACACAAACTGATCTTTTAAAAACATTTATTGTAGTATAAAGGCACGTCACTGAGCTCTGTTATACATTCAGACACACCGACAATATGGAGCTCCTAGAAGAGATGGACAGATAAATTTGGGCCCAGAATAGGCACTGCCCCTCCTAAATAGGGAGACTTTGGAGGTTTTGTGAATGTTTTTTCTCCTTTACCTCAACTCTGTATATGAGATAGTAGGAAGCTTGAACCTGGTAATGGGGTCTGAAGAATGGCACTTACCCTCACTCTAGTTCATGGGCAGGTAGGTATATCTGTACGTATGGAATCAAGATGATGCATGCAATGATATGAGTTTCCACAGATGTTCTGTAATTGCACAGATGTTCCGTAATCATATAAAATCCTAATAAATAAGATAATATTCATATATAATTAATATATAATCATTAAGTGATAATTAAAAGAGCCAAGGAGGGAATTACAAATGTTAAGCCAAAATAGCCATGTTTGAAAATTAGCAAACTGAATAATTTTTCAAATTCTGCTATTCTGGCTGAGAATTTGCCAATTCTCCATATTTCCAGTTTACTAAATAAACTCAAATTTTTCTGAAACATCCTTACCGAGGTAAACCGAAATGGGACTGACAATGTTATACATGTATTCAGCCTCACACTGTAGGAGTATACTAAATTCATTCCAGCACACAATTTAAATAATGCTTGTAAGTAGACTGAGTGAATTATAATCTAATGACGGATATTAGCGTGCTTATGTCAAATGATAGAAGCGCGGTAGCCGGTCAAAAGTTTGAAACAAAATAGGATATTGATAGCACAGAATAGAAAGCACAAGCACAAATGGTTCTGAAAATGTAATAAATCAAAATCAGGCTTATATTACAAAAACGAAGTATAAGGTATTACGTAGAATTATTGTGACATGCAGGCTTTTGCTAAAACTCCCAGCGAAAAGGAAAATGTCTGCCATATGTTAATCTAATCACTAGCAGTTTATGCAGCTCGCAGACTCAACCGATCTATCATTTTCACATACAGATTACCATCACTCGGAGTGAGACAGTACTTGGTACAACTGTGACAGCTTCTGCAATCCTAAACTGATTTACTACTTCTTTTTTTTTATTTTTAGATTCCTTGAAAAATAAATGCAAAAAGCATTTAAATATGAGTTGTTTCTTTCTGTAGAAGGTCGTGAGTGAATGTTTTTAACACTGTAAATGCAGGTAGCGCATGAATTCTTAAAACCTCGCCACTACGAATACAAAAGAATCTTCCATAATTTGACAAGGCGGGTACCAACATCATTGTCCCAAGTCCTTATTTTTTTGGAACATGCGAGTGATGATATCCATTGTACTATCCATTGATGGATTCCTCATTTCCCTCAGTAGTGGCTTCATCTGTAATGTAATCTTTTGATATAGTGCCCCCACATTGCATTACAGCTCTACTCATTCCCAGAACCTCATTATATTTTATAATACATATTGCAGGATACATATTCATTGACGAATATATCAAATATCTGTGCATGATAAGAATACACTATAGACAGCGGGCTTAATAAACTCTAGGTCTAATATCTACAGACAAGGAATCTCTGAATAACCTGCATGTGAAAAGTGACACCTTTTCTTAAACCAGCACTGTCACCCACATATTGAAGATGAGTTTTTCATAAATATAGAATCTTTATGAAATACTCATTATGAATGTGTTGGAGTTTCACTGAAATCCCAACTCAGTCAGGAGATTTACAGAGACAAAGTAGGGACTACTTTGTTTCTATATTTCTCCCCCTCCGACTTTCTTTTACACAAGGCAGAATCTAAGAGTCAATTCCTCTAGCCATTAACAGTGACGGCTGCAGGGAATGTGTCTACGGAGGATCCAGAGGTCTCGCATCACACTCCATAGACCTCAATGCTGTAAGTACAGCAGTGATATCGGTGCCGAAGAGGACCCTGCCGGATCAAGATGGCGGTGCCCGCAACAGACAGGTTCAGGTAAGTAAACTCACCTTTACCTGCTCCCCCCAGCCCCCAGCCACCAGCAGTAATGTCACTGTCAGGGACTTTGCAAATTTGGAAAAGTCCCCAAACAGTGCCACTTTAAGGCACCAGTCCCACTTTAAATATATTCCCAATAGTACCAGAGGAATGTATTAATGCAACAAACAGCAAATCTTAGAGTTGTAGATAATGCTACCAGCATGCGTGTGATATTAGCTGATGGATGATCCGATAACAGCGTGAAATTCTGTTCCAATGTTGGCAGGTGTGCAAAACATGGAACAAATTATGGATCTATTTCCAACAGCTCTAAATCTCATCTATGTCATTGTAACAGCTCCAAAGCCCCTGTCACTATGTTTTCAGCAATGTATGGGAGTACATAACTGTCCACTAAAGTGGATCCTCTCAATATTAAGACACATGTGAAGACTGATTTTGTTGACATGCCAGCCCATCTCCCCTTGTACTTTTATCCTTGCGGTGCTGAGTTAAACATCCCCAATAGTTCAGAGTCCACCGGCCAGATTAAAATGCCCCCAACTGGCCAAGCTACAGCCTGAACTAGACAAAGCTCTGGCTGATGACATAATATGTGACAAATTTGCACAAAAAAGAAGGAATTTTAAAAGTAAGGATTAAAAAAAAAAAAATCTTTTATCTTTTTGGGTTGGTTGTTTTTGCATCATTTTAAAACAATATCTGTGCAATTCATTTCAAGCATAGAATGCCCCTTTAACGTATACTTGTTAAATGCATTTGTCAACACCTCTGCCATCATTGTGATTGTTAGCATGCGTTTATTCTGTCCAGACTGACATCCAGTTCTTCACTCAGCCTGCTGCTGTGTTTTTCCTGATAATCCCAGTGAAAATAAAACACCTGACTTTTTACATGTAAACAGTGCATTGAAGTCATACATGACAGATAACATGACAGGCCGTACATTCTATTTACTTTCCATGTTCTTGAACCGTGACTTACGAGCTGACTATATCAATATATTGTAAGAAAGTGAAATTGTCATTGTTATATCAGCATTCCTAAGTTTATATAGAATCATAAAGAAACTGTTTCAATTTCAATGTTTTACCAACGTCTCTTGCAGTATTCTGACCCCCGCAGGGTTATTAGCTATTTTGATCTAAAGTTTTCAATTTACTTTGAAGTCACTGAATTCCCAACAATTCCCACTTTATTCACTAAATTGTTAATTTTCGGAAATAGCTGATCTGGGAAACCTTTTCAACTTGATTTTAGTTTGGTTGTTTCAGCCCTGATTTTACTGTTAGAATTGTAAGTCTCGACAATTTGCAGTTTAGTGAATAACGTTGTAACTAATGGATCTGTCCAAATCTCACCATCATAGGTTCTATTCCCAGCGGAAAAAACCCCAAACTTTTCTTACTTTCAGGGTCATTTAAAGACGACGTCTAGCTTTGTTTTAGTAACACCTATTCCCAGATCTTGAAAACAACAGAAAATCTCCATGTTCCCTTCCAGCTATGCCACTTTCACCGCTATATTTTAATAAAAATGCAATATTATGCAAACTATTATGAATAATTTGTTTACGATAAAACAGATGGATTTTAATATGTGTTGTCAGGTTCCACGGAAAATAAGATCATGTTTAAAACATCTACAAGACAAATATATTTAAATTACTTTCACAGACCAGAAACACTTATTTGTTAAAACATCTATTCAACAGAGGATATCACAGCTTGTTAAAACAGAGAAGCACATCCTTTAGTAACTGGCAGCTAAAACAATCGTTGCAGGAAAAATGAACTTGGTTATTGGCAGCTCTGGATTCCAGTTGTGTGACATAGCGCAGTCATGGTGATTGCAAACATAGTGGGTTCTATTAGAACTGTGAACGAGGAAATTGGGAAATAGGAAGTCAAAATGTAACACAAAGCAAGGATTGTAGGAAACCGACATGAGAATTGCGAATGGTAGATAAAAGATGCTGAGCTACCACCACCATTTTACTAGTTTTAGTGA